AACCCCATAAATTCGCCGCGGGACACTCCCTAGTCGTCGAGTCTCAACCGTGAATCTATTCAATGTCAAAGTGAATTCCTTCCTCTCTCTCTCTTCTCCTCTTCCTACTGTCTTTTTCCTCTCTCTGTTGTCTCTCGTACATGAGGTCGGCGCGAAAAATAGCGCCGACTTCAAAAGAGACGACGACGCGCCTTAGAACTTTCGGCCTTTTGCAACCAATTTACTTGCGGTGAGCACGCTGAACCAGTTTCGCTTTCTCCAAATTCGTTGGTTAGCCACACGTGCTCCGAAATTATTTCGTGACTGTGAATAATCGACATTTTTTTTTTTTTCCTTTGCTTCTCTAACTCAATCCTTATTTTTCATTCCCTCGCGTTTCAGTATCATACTACATTTCTTGACCTAATCGTAAAGTCTTTGACCGTTCCGAGAAGATTACAGTTATGAATAAATGAAGTACATACATGGACCGAGAAGTACAACGTGCTTGATGGGACAAAACACGACACAACGACGATAGGTTTCTACGTCGCGTATACTTCCGAACGGCGACAAAGGAACAAAGAGGTTCGTGTCGAGCGTGTTCCCAACAGTAAAATTAATGCTCGAAACCGAAGGGTCCATAAATTGCGGTTCAAGGCGAAGCGAAAAAATATCACCAAGGGCCGACGGCGACAAGGAGGCGGATTTTTAACTTGGCTCGATGCGACGTTTTTGAACCGTCTCGAGGTTGAACTTGGAATAAAAACGGCGTAAAAAAAGGCAAAGGTCTTCATTTGATTGCACGAAGAAGGATTTCCTGATAATTTCATTGTCGTGTCTGGTACATTATGAACAAATTAAAGTACGATTTCTTGTGTCTGGCTTATTATTTGGAGAGTTATTCAATTTGAAAATCAATATATTGATTTACTTGATAGAATCACCGAAATAATAAGGAAATATTACTTCCTCTTCGTGACGAGAGAATAAAAAAAATAATCATTTAAATTGTTCGTAGTTGTCTCTTTGAAGTACAATTTTAAACTTCTAATTACACTAGTAAAAATTCCCTAATAATAAAGTCAGGATATAACCACTGTACATTTAATGAAAACCACGCTCACTTAATGATTGCTTCTGTTTCCACTTAAGATATTTCAATTGCTAGGTAAGTCGGACTAGGATTCTAAGATAATATTTTCTCATGAATAGCACTAAGAATGTTCATTTCATATTCTTCTCACGTATTTCCCGCTGAAAGCACCGCTTACAGAAAATATCTTCGTTATATATTAATTGTAGAATTTACTTATAATACTAATCGATAGAACTAACTCCGATTAATTGAAATGCATGTATGTGATTGTAGCGGCATCCCGAAGGAGTTGCTCAAGTAACTTTTCGTGAACCTGCTGAGGCTCAGGCTTGCGTTCAATTGTTAAATGGACGTTGGTTTAGTCAAAGAAAAATATCAGCCGAAATTTGGGATGGCAAAACTAAGTACAAGTAAGTTTATCATCAGCAAATTTCTTCTTTATCAACTGTAGGTATTTTACTTTCGACTGTTGGTAATGTAGATGTTTACTTTAACTGTAGCAGGCTAATATACGAAACGATTTACTTTATCGACAATCGGCAAATTATTGATCGAAATAAAATTTCATATATTTATTTTAGAATACGTGTTCCACATTAATAACATAACATCTTATTTTTAAATCAAATTTAAAAGATTACTGAATACCCATAAATTCGCTTACAGGAATAAGTATCGTTCATTTTTCAATTAATCCATAACTTTATGTGATATTTCGAAATGCTTTGTTCTCATTAACTCACAAGTCACGCACAAATATCCTGAAGTAGAAACATTTATTTTTGTAAATTGATCGCATTATATTTGCAAATTCTATGATCTGCTCTCAGAATTACCGAAACGGATGCTGAGATCGAGGCGCGATTAGACAAATGGGACGAGTTTTTGGAGCAAGAGGATGAAAAGGAGAAGAAAGGAGGCGACGAAGGTGGAAGAAGCTAAGTTGGAGGTGAAAAAGTTGGAGGAAAAGGTTGACGACAACAAAAAAATAGAAGCGAAGTCTTCGGAATAGAGAAGCGGTGTATAAACGATATAGAATGATATATGAAATTGCAACGATTTTGTTCGGTCAATTATTTTTAGTCAAGGACTCGAGTCGTCGACAAAAAAGACACAGCGAAGTAACTTTGATATTTATTTTTTGTCACTTCCCGAGATATTGATCTACTTACACGGATCATACTACAGTAAGCATTTCTTTCCTTTGCGTTCCAATTCGCTTGTAATTTCCGTCGTTTTACCATATCCAAGTCGTCGTGCTATATTATTACCAACGTCGTTGACCAGATTGTTAGTGATTGCAGATAAAAAAAAAACGATGAAATTTTTCGAACCATATCCTTCCTTAAATCTTTCATCGTCGTTGCATCAATGGCCGACGCATTGCAAGTACAAAATATATTATCATTGCAAATCGAATGGTGTTCGGTTTATATATGGTAATATAAATATTAAAGAGCGCCCTGTCTTATATTTAGTATTAACAAAGTACATAAAGCCATTCCTTACGGAAATACCGACGATATTTCTTGATCGTAGAAAACTGCTATGCTGAGTTATATATATATATATATATATATATGTTTGTTAATACGGAGAGTATAAAAGTGAACAATCCTTTTCTCTCCCCTCTTTTGCGCCCAGTTCACTTCTATCCCGCAATCTATAAAATGTCGAAGGATAATGTAAAGCGTTACATTACTGACGTTCTTCGGATTACGCGATGCAATTTGATCGAAACACGTTTCGCGTGCTTCGGCATACGAGAAGAGATCATACGGAACGAACCGAAGTGACTGACCTAGGTTCGACTCGAACGTTCGAGACGAGAAAGCGCATTCCCCTTCGTTTTGGAATATTTTAAGTATTTTTTTTTTCCTCGTCGTATTTTCAGTTCAGTCATACGAAAAGATTTAGATTAAACGGCCAAAAAATCTGGCCAACAAATCGGCCAAGAAAAATGTATCTATTATATTAGTTTGATTATAATTGTATGATAATATTGTTTGTCTTTAGATAATATTGATAATAAAATGCTCTAACGCGTCGCTCTCATTTAAACTCCTTACTATTAGAGGATTACGATGTAGAATTTTTATGACATCTTCATTTTAGAGTGTGCAGATTGCAAAGTTAAGAGAAAATTACAAAATTAAAAAACGATATGTTCGCGCTGAAGTTAACGGTCGTGAAAAGACTTGAAAGAGAAAAAAAAAAAGAGAGCTAAAAAGAAAGAAGAGGAAGGTAGATCTCCTGGAATTCCCTAATTTGCTATTTTGGCATTCCTCACGATCCTTATGTTGTGCCCTGTTCGTGGGACTTCTCTCCTGAGAGGTTGCTGCCGATCTGTCAAAAAACGCGATTCTTCGGTCGCCGCCACGGCCTTCTTCTTTCTCCCCTTCTTCTTTTCTTTCTCCGCCACAGTACCCCAATGTTGAAAGATCTGTGTTTTCACCCGTTTGAGAAACAGCCGATTCTTGCTAGGAAGTAAATTACGACGACGCAAGTTGTTGCTAATCGACCGTTTCATAGAATCTAATTACAAAGGATGATGGAGAAATACTCATTATGTCATCGTTTCTTGAAACAAGTAATTGGATGTTCTGTGTCTTTAAAAAACTCACATTATTCACATTATATTGAGGAATATTATTTTTATATCATACAATTGCGAAAAAAAAATCTAACGCAGCACATATCGATTATTCTTAATCTGTCTGTACACAATGAAAGCCACGAAGCATCAATACTCTCGTACGACGGGATCACGTTACGAGTCTTTCGCTTGATAGTCCTATCGTTTATTCGTCTACATGAGGTATCCTTCCGTGAAATGTGAGAATGAAAGCATATTTCGTGCGTCTCGTCCCTTCAATGATGCGAAGAAGGGAGGAAAAGAGAACGAGAAGCTTCACCCCACTTGGTAATATCACTGACAAATTTAATGCTCGACTATTAACAGGAGTAGTTGCAGGGGTGAGTTGCACGTCCTCCATTGTTGAAGTGGCCACGTGCAGGATGACTACCACCCCGCTATGAAGCGTTTGATCCGACGTTAGGCAGAACGTATTGAGTAGAGTAAAGGTCGACTCGCATAAAAAGTCTTACCCCGTTTCACGCTCGTCGACGGTTTATTGGATTTGTCCGACACTCCCCAAAGATAGAGACCTGCTAGATTACACATCGGATTAGCCACAGTCTTCTTTATTCGACACGGTCAAGTGTGTCGCCGTTAGAACGACGATATATCTCAACATTTAGAATTATTCGATTCAGGTGAACTGGAACAGTGGTTGTAAATTTAGTATAGTTTTAGACTTGTGATGAAATGTATTGTTTTGTGATCCATTTATTGATTGACAAATTTTCTATTCCGAAAATTATACTTTTTTCAATTTTTTTTTTTTTTATTATTTTAATAGTAACGACTTTATGGTTATAATGGAAAAAGGAATAATACGAATATATAATAATTTTATTTATTTAGATACACTTGTAAACGATTACAATACGATATACTTACAAACACTTATATAGCTCGGTATGTCGCTGTGGTGAACGTGAAGGATCAAGTATTAAGTAACATATAATTACATCTATTATATTTCGATTGAAATCAAACGTAACCAAGAGTTAGTATTTAATAAAATCCAGATTGATAAAAAATCCAATATTAAACTTGGCTGATGAATCTTTTGCATTAGTTTTGATCGAATTTAAAATTGAATTATGTCTATCAAAGGATGAATATGGTATTTGTGACTTGACCCATTTCTTGTTAAATGAATCGTCAGTTGAAGGTGTCAGAATACTTTTCACTTGGCAGAAGATTCATAGTCACGTTCCAATTTTCTCAACAGGAAAAACCTGATTTTCTGAGGAGGTTAAGAAAATTCCTAACCAGCCTGACTTCGTTGGAGTTTCCTACCCTCTTTTGGTTTCTTCCTCTTATCTCCTTTTTCCTTATCTCCCTGCTGAGGCAACCTTCACTGCTCTCTCGCTGAGGCAAATTAAGCTTCCCGAAACACCGCGAAACTGTTAATTAAGACTCATTATGCGCGCGGCTTGCCGAGTTCACCGGTAGTGTTGGAGAAGAGAGAGAGAAGTTGTAGGAGTGGGAGAAAGAGGAAGAGGTGGATAAGGTACGGGGTTGTTGGGAAAAGGCGACTCAAAACGTGGTTAAAGCCGGACGAAGCGAGAAGGGTAGGCAAAGTTGGTGGGTATGGAAAGATAGAGGAAGTAAGAGAAAACCAGAGGCAAATAGAAAGAGAGACAGGATTAGAGTGTGGGTATCGAAGGGTAGGAGGAGGATTCAACCCGAGTAGGAACTTCTTAATACCGTGCTGGGTAGTCCGGGTTCATTGTGGGATCAATACAGAGACGACGGTACGTAGGAGTGGCAACCGATGCCTCATTGGACGGTTGATTCTCGCTCGTTGATTGGCCGAGCTTGGTACTACCAGTAGGCGTTTCCTTTTGCCCGGTAACCCCTTCTTTTCCGAAAGGGGCTGATCGAAAAGGGAAGAGAAGGGAAAAGAGACCTTTCCGACCCTCCAGCCAGCTGAAGGAGAGGAGGATGTGCCACGCACGACCACGAAAAAGACAGAGAGGAAAAGGAAGAAAGAGTGAGAGAAAGAGTTAGAGCGGCGAGAAGGGAGAGGGGAACGAGAGAAAGAAAGAAAGAGAGAGAGAGAGAGAGAGAGAGTGAGAGAGAGAGAGACGAGCCTGTCCATGGAGTTGGAAAAAGACGGCGGACGAGTCTAGGGAACGAGAGAGAGGGTGTCCAACGGTCGGTTCGGGGGGTTCAGTCTGTGTTCGCCCATCAGAGACACACCAGCGGTGTAATCTGGAGACAGCCGTTCCGTTCTCTCTATCTCTTTCTCTATCTCTATCTGTCGAACTCGTGCAGATCTCGCGTTCCTGTGTTTCGTGCTCCGTTCGTTCGTGTTCTTTGGTAATCTTTATCTACCTCTTTCTCGCTTGATAACAGGAAACGATCGACGTGCGATACGCACGAACGTGAGAAGTGAGTGTGATAATGCTCGGAGTATACGTGATCATTTTCGAGGTCTCTTAAAACGATTTAAAGGTGTCAGCTTGTCGGGAGTGTCAGGATCGACAAGACAGTTCCGTGTTTCTTGAGTTTAAAAAGTAGGACAAAATAGGACGGGTCAATGTTGATCTACCGTCGATACTAGGATCCTGACACGGAAGAGAACAAGCTGAAAGGAGTGGATTTGTCATCTTCGACCCTTGTTTCTTATATCCGTCAAAAACGTCAGGAACGAGGATCTATCTTCCCGCGCTTTACAAGGACCTTGATAATCTATCGAAATTTTCTTATCGCCTGCTATTCGATTCGTCAACATGACAGCTTTTAAATTTGTGCCAAGGTTTTTTCTTTTTCCGTAATAAGAAGCAATTTCAATGATGTACCATCTATACCAACTGTTGCGTTTTCGATAGCAGTGTTCCAGTGAAAGTCATAGACCGTCAAAACGCTTGCCGACGGACGATCATCGTAATCGCGTTGAGCGAGCATATCTTTTCATTATCCAAACAAATTGTCGTGTTGTTCTAAATCATTTGGACGTTCAGTTAGGTAGCTAGAAGTCTCAAAGACAGAAGTGGTCGGGTGCACGTGGCACGTTTAGATTGAAATTTTTACTTGACGTAAAAAGAAAAAAAAAAAAGAAAAAAAAAAGAGAAAAGAAAAAGAAAGAAGAGAGGAAAAAGAAGAAGAAAAAATAAGAGGAAGGTGATCAAGAGAGAGTGGAGGAGCCAAGTGGTGGTGGTATTAGAACGGGTGGTGCGACGTTCGGGTACGCAAGTCGGCAGGCCGGGTCTGGGGTGCCAAGCCCGGGCGGGGTGATGAGCTGCTCCGAGGTGATGTATCAATATTATCATCCTTACCTCTATTCGAGGGCACCGCCGCCGCCGCACCCGACCCACCCTCATGCGGCCCCGCATGCGAATCCTCATGCGGCCCATCACAGTCCGGCCAGGCCGGCACCTTTTCAACCGTTTTCCTCCGCCACGGCGACGCATCAGTACGACAGGGTGAGCATCATCTCTTTTCTATCACAATGATAACAGTTTCTGTTTTTTTTTTTTTATTTTCCCATAAGAACCACATAAATTTTTCAATGACATGTTCGAACGAATTACGTTTTGCTTAGGAATTGAATTAAATCAATTGTTTTTTTTTTTTTTTCTTTTTTTATATAGTATTAAATCCTTGAGTAGATTAGAATACGTTAAATGTGCCAAGAGTTGTATCTATCTCGGAATTTTTTTGTTTTTTTTTGTTTTTTTTTTTTTTTTTTTTTTTTTGATAATCTTACTTACTAGCATTAGAAGTATCTACGCAATCAAAAAATCCTTCGATACGTTCAGAAGATAGTATATCTTTAGATATTAGAGCATATTTTTCAAAGTAGAACGGCATTTCCAGCATGTCAAATTAACGCTAACGAGCGAAAGGAATCGAATCGTGCCGAGAATTTAGATGTTAAGCGATCGTTATGGGCAGGTATCATTATTCAAAAGTGTATCGCGTAGGGAACGTGTATCGTGTTAAGAGTACAAGCTTGAGCGCTTAGACAAAGCATCGTTAAAGAGATTAGGAGCAGCATTGTAACGCCTAAAGGCGTCGACGTTAAAGTGTCTCGGTGGATTTTAAAGTTTTCTAAGCGAATCGTTTAGATATTCTGTAACCACTTGGTATATAATACCCAATATCTTTTAATTGTATTTATCTTGTTTACAGTGAACAGTAAACATATAATAATTTAATAATTATATTAAAAATATATAAAACATATAATATAATAATATTAGAATAGAAGAAAAATTTAGACGATAGATATTCTTGTATTAGAAAATTTTATTTTCAACTTTTGTCTTAATAATTCTACTTATTTATAACTTTTAATTTCACATATGATCTTCTCGATTCGTAGTTTATCCATCTCTATCAGTATTCAGCGATACACAATAATCGAGGAATCTCGTTAGGCGAGTTATTCCCTTCGCTTATGACACGTTGGATCTATCCAATGACTTAATACTAACTAACTCACAGAATGTAATTTATCGATATCACAGCGAAAGACATTTGTGATCCTAAAGATTACAAACAGGTGCATCTAAAAATATCGATCTTCTTTTAAAACTACTTAAATGTTCATTCTAGTCTTTTTTTTTTTTTTTTTTTTTTCTTTTTTTCACATCGAACTTGACGCTGATACATTCGTTATCAAGCTCGGCAAATTTCTCGAGTGAATGGTCCCGTAAAGGCAAGCCGTGTTTACAAACACGGTAGAAAAGCGAGGCGAGAAGATGTTTCACTCGGAGAGTCTTGAAATAGTTTAGGCAGAGCAATGAAGAAGAGAGGAGCAAGAGTCTCGGGAGGGGTAGATAGCCTCTGCATCATTTTAATCTGTCTGCTGGGAGGTCAGGCGTGTTTCTAGCCTTTGGTGCACCCATCCGTACGCTCATCCATACACTACAGGGTGTCGAGTACCGTTTCGCCTGTTACTCCTGTCTTCGCGTCTTTTTTATTTCTCATTTTCTTTCCTCTTCTCGTTCTCTCCTTATCTCCTTGTCTCTTAGCTTTTTCTTTTCATATATTAAGTCCCCTCACCAGTCAAGACGTCTATTTCGAAAGCTCACTTTTCGACCTTGGTGGCAAAGAGTTTACACATTTCTTTTCATTTTTTTAATGTACAAATTTTTATTTGACCTTATCAAGAATGATTTTCTTTTATGCCTCTTCAAATTATAATCCTAACTTTTCGAATTTTTATTTGGCGAAATGACGAGAAGATCGGTCCAATTTCATTATCAGTACTTCCTTCGTTTTATAACTCTTAGGAAGGGCCGATTCTTTCGTGTAGTAGTAGAAAAAGAAGAAGAAGAAGAAAAAGAAAAAAAGGAAGAGAAGGACTGTGGCGATACTTCGTTATTCGGAAATGCACGGCATCTTTAAAGGCGCGTCGGTCTGCGTTTTATCGGTTTAACATTAAATTTCACTTACAATTGATAAGTCTAAGTGGTACGATAAATTCTTATCTTGTATTACTCCATGAGTTAGCATGGCGTGACGCATTAATACGTTTACTTATAATCGTCGGAATATGTACGGATAATCGATTTTTGAAATCGGCAAACCGGAGAATCTTGGTTGATCGGAAAAGACGAGCGACGTGTCTACCGATCTTGTAAAAAAACTTTACATAATCAAATATAAATTATCTTTCACTTGAAACTAATTTTAATTAGATGTTTCCTTGACGATAAAAATTATCACAATTTATCACAAATTTATTAAATGACATGTTCTGTCAATAAAATACCGACATCATTTATTCGTTAGATATATTGAGATTTATCCTAACTTCTTTCGATTTCAATCATGATCTACCACTATCTGTAACTGGATCCATCCTGAACAAGCTCAACGTAACATTCCAAACTGATATAACTCGAGTCTTACCACCTTTTCGCTATACGCTATAAATTCATGTTGTGAAGTATCGCGCCGACGGACCACTTAAACTATTTATCACCTTATCTTAATCTACTTACCACTAGGTATATAAATCAACGAATATGTTAATGAGCGTCGAAGAAAAAAAAAGATCTACACTCTGGAAGAAAGGAGATTTGGACGTGGACCAAAGAAATAAAATAGAAAGGGAATGATAAATAAAAAGAGAAAGAAGAAACATTATTTTCGTATATCATTTTATTTATTGCATAAATAAAAATGTTTAACTTATGAATTTTAGATAATAATGAATGTTCAATTTGTAGTCCTTACAGATAATCTTTTAAAAAATTTTAATATCTCTTGGAAGCCTTAAAAAATTTTAATTGTCTCGATAGATCAAAAGTTTTTCAAAATCTTGATAATCGTAAAAGTCTCGTAAATTAAAATTAATTTATTAAAAACATGTGTATGTTACAAGGAAAACTTATGTCAGATAACTCTGACTTAGATATCGACGAATAAGCGAGAGATCAGTATTATAACTTGATAATCGTCTTAATTAATTACTAGACTTAATCTTTTGCATAAGATCATTAAAAAATAAAAATAAAGTATAGTATTATATATGCCATGATTAATATGGATACTTTGAAATCTATTAAATTTCACGTAAGATTTAAATCGATTAAAATTATTTCCTTTCTCATCATTGATGAAAGGTAAATCACAGGAAGATCAAAGTACGTAACGTTAATTGTTGTAACATCTCTGGTTGAGTTTTCTCGTAAGTTATAAGAACCAGCATAGTGAAAGAGAGAGGAAGAAAGATGGAGAGAAAAGGAGAAGGGTTGTGGGACGGCAATAAAGCACGCTGTCGGTGCGTTTCGGTGCGCGCCGTGAGAAAACGGCGGGCAGAAGCGAAGCATTTTTAACGCGCCTGGGCTCGCTCTTCTGCGCGCTCGCGCGCACGCGCGTATATTAGCCAACACGAGGAAAAACGCGGGGCTATTAATTCAAGGGGCCGGCACCGGGTGGACACCGGTCAGCGCCGGGCAAAGGAGCAAAATGAGCGTCTCTCGGGGGTCAGGCCCTAAATAAAAGGAAGGAACGTTTAAATAAAAGTAAACTCGTGTCGGCCGTCGCTCGCAAGGCGTGTGCGTTCGAGCGGAGTTCTCTTTCTCTCTTCTGGAATCACGGGACGCTGGCTTTCGGGTTAGGAAACCTTGCTTCTCCGTCCTCTTTTCTCTTCTTCTATTTCTTTTTACTCTTCTCTTCGTTCTTCTCTTCTTCCTTATCCTCCTGCGTACTCGTACGCCACCCGTTATACCCTCTCGTCCTGCGAGAAACCTGTCCGCCCGTCGAGATCGACCTTGCGTACGCGATCGCGCGCGCTTTACGCTTTTGCTCACCGTTATCTCACGATCGGAAGAGATGCGAGAACTTCGAGCGCAGGCTCAGCTGAGTTCGCAGACCTTACTTACTTGGAATATACATATATCTTTACGTGCTTGGTCAACGTTGGAAATTGATTTGTTTCTTTTTTAAATGAGAATAAGTAGGTACATATATATATAGTTTAGTCATAATCATTTTCGATACAATCTTTGTCATCTTTTAATCTTTTAATCTTCCGATCTGTCGTTCGTTTAATCGCTAACGAGAGAAACTCGAAGGTAGATAGCAGCAGGACGCCCCGATGCCTTTCTCTTCGGGATTTAAAGCATGTAAATCCACGTGTAAAACAACAGTAATTTATAGTATTTAACAGGATGGAACATTGCTATCGTATTTCCAGCTAATGATTCAAATGCGACATGGACTTTTGAGAAGGATGATTTATACTTTGTTTTTTTTTCCGGCGCCATACCTTAGCATGCGCTGTCATTAATGAACCGAGTGGTATATCATGGATCTTTAGAATTTATTTTTCTTCGAGTGTCTCATAATGGACCGAATATTTCCTTCTTTCCGTCGAAGAAAAAAAAAAAAGAAAAAGGAGCGGAGAAAAAGGGATGACATTCGTTGTATCGAAGGAAATCGAATCGGTCAATGAGAACGATGTTCATAATAAAAACGTCTCGAAGAAAAGGCAATAAAGTCATAAATGACATTTTAGTGTCAGAAAGGAGAACCGAGCGCGACAGACCGGATGTATTGAATACTCACAAAGGAATTTTTAGTGTCTCCTTCAAAAGGTTTATACTGTGGTAATTCGTGGGGTCTCGTACGGACATCTAAAAAATTGTCGTTATGACTTTCGATATTAAAGAAATTTACTGAAAGTAAATAATTCACGATTTTATCCTTTAACGAGGATTATCAAACTTCTATCAGAATTATAAGATCGATCGAAACAAAACTAAAATTGCAGCAGAACATAATTTTTTTTTTCTTTTTTTTTTCTTTTTTTTTTTCTTTTTTTTTTTTTTTTTAAATTAATAAAGTGAACGAGGAGAAAGGATTTCGTATTTGGCAGATCGTGGCAATAAAGTCATAAACATATTTTTTAAGGGTTTAACTTAGCCCGGATCTCGAAGATTGGTATTATAAATTCTGGGACATACAA